CTGCCGCGGAGAAGATGGAGGGGGAGTTGCAGTTTTTTCAATGAGGGACTTGAGTTTGTGAATTAGATAATTAGTAAAGACTTGATTGCAATTTTATAAATTTTAATATATTATAATTTAGTTCATGGGTCAAAATTGTAATTAGTCAAACTAAGATTAATATGTCAATATTTTTATGTAATATTTGGTTGAAAATAAATAATATGGTACATAAAAAGATATAAAAAGATAATAATATTTTTTTTTAAATAATTTGGGTGTCCGGTTATTTGGTTACGTAAATAAAATAAATGGAACTGAAATTTTCGTCGCGATCAGTTTAATTCGGCGGGTCATATAAATAGCCAAAATAATCAACATAAATTATGTTATTTATTATTATAATCACATTTGTTATTTAATTCTTGTTTATTTGATATTTTAGTATGTTTTGATTAACAGAATTAATACATTTATGCAAATCAAATATAGGGTGCAATCTAACAGTTAATAAGGTGCAATTCTTCCAACAATATGGTGCACGTTATTGGTCTGTATTGTGCAGATTGTACCTACCGAAATTTTGTCCAAAGATCAGATTGAAAATTAACATAATCTCTTGGGTTATTCGGTTCTATTAACCAACTTATCCCAAATAATTGAAATAATATTTTTATGTATATCAAATTATATTTAATATGTTAATAACTTTATTTATTAGTTTTATATTATATTAGGTTCAAAAGTTTTAGTTAGATCGGTTACGATTTCTATTGTGCAATCTCATAGCGTGCTAAAGTGATGCATGTTGTTGTGTAAAGTGCAACTCGTTTATTTATAAAGTACAACATAATGATGTATAAAGTGAACTACTGTGAATTTGCTATGTTGGCATGCTTGTGTGGTTGAATGGTGTGATATATGTTAAACATTATGTATATCTATTTTTTAGATTTATATTGTGCGATATTTTGGCGGGACATGTTTCAATATATAAAGTGCAAACGTGTTGTTTTATAAAGTGCAATTGTATAATTGTATATCAAATTAACCTAAGTAATTTAAATAAATTATTTTTTAATATTATAAAAGTATATTTACTATTTTAATAATTTTTTATATTCGAATTTCACATATTAAAATTTTTAAACATTGTACACTTTATTTATCATTAATATGCATTTTATAAAACATATTGGTATAAATTGCAAATCTATTACACATTTACATTTGAATAATATATTTAAGATGTTAACGTTTTTTGTATAATATTTTATGTTATTTTTTATTTATAATACATAAATTAAAATAATGTTAATTTTTTATGAATTCACACATTGACCCTCAAAAGTTTATTTGAAAATAACTAAAATTCTTAAAGTTGCAAATCAATCTTTGTAACTTATTAAATTTTCTAACACAAATCTTTATCCAACAAATCAACTCCTCAGCCCTTCAACACAGGCTTACCACCACCGGCGGCGGACCACCGCCCTGCCACACCGACCCAGTCTGTTATCCTCTCACTGGCGAAGAGCCTACAAGCCATCACCAGCCGCCTTACGCATGGTGAGTTCACAGGGCGGCCGGAGGTGATCACCGGCGACGAACATCGGCCCTAGGCCACACATATTATGCGAAAAACAGCGACGATTCCGACGTCGACTTCAACAGGCTTCAGTACCGACGATTCAGAGAGCTCCGACGGGGGCTACGCAGACGAGGAAGGCGAGAAGAAGGCTACTTTATCTTTTTTTTTACTTTTTGCGACGGCGAGGACTGTACTTGAAGAAGACAGTGGCGTACGACCGAGAACGTCGACAGCACGATGGACGACGGCATGATCGTCGGCGGTGTGAGGACGGCAACTCATGGATTGCAGGCGGGCGGTGTGTGTTAGTGTGTGTGTGTGTGTGTGTGTGTGTGTGTGTGTGTATGTACAACGTGTGTTGGGGAGAGATGATGCATTGGGACCTGTTGTGTGTGTGCAGGTGTGTGTGTATGTGTGTGTGTGTCTGCGTGTGTTGTGTGGGTGTGTGCGTGTGTTATGCGTGTGACAGCATGTATTTGTGTGTAGGTGGTAGCTATGTGGCGTGTGTGTGTGGGAGATATAGGGGGTGAGTTGGCAGGTTATCCCGTGTATTAGTGATTGTGTGGTCCAACTATTTGTGTGTAGAAATTTTCACATTACCCTTAATGAAGATATAATTTTAACTTTTTTTAGCCATTAGATCGAATTAGATCATTCGATCTAATGGCTACGATTTATTCTCATTTCTTTCACTAGGCACCATTCTCATGTGAACTCAACCCTAATTATATTTATTTTACCATATTAATTATCACATTTTATATAATTTTATAAATTATATATAATGAATATCAATAAATCTATCAACTACTTCGTCGTCTAAACGTTAGGCCCGAGTCAGCCGCTAAAAGTCGATTTGGGTCGGTCCAGTTAGGAAATGTTGGTTTTTTGGTTTAAGCCAGAACCGATCCGAGATTAGGACATGGTTGGTTCTAGGCATGCCATAAATCCCGTGGGATCAAGCAACCAGCTCGTTAATTGTATATATAGGTCGGGTAAACTTGGGGTGATTGGGTTCCGGGTCAGGTTCGAATAGAAATATACTAAATTAACCCTGTGTTGGGTGGGGTTTGAATATAGTGTAAAAATCCGCTATCCAATACGTTAACCTGGAACCACATATAGCTAATTGAAGAATACACACACACACACACACGAGATGTGATTCAAATGAGAATCAGGTCTTGGCATGAGAACTGCTATTTTTAGTTGTATGTAGTGTTGCAATGTGTTGTGTTTTAGGGCTATTTTTAAGCTAAACAAGAATAATACCTAGTTATTTTAAAATAAATAAATGTACAAAAAAAATTTTATGTTTTTGTAGTGTAATATAAACTAAAAATATATATAATAG